TGCAGCAGATCTTCCAAATAAGCATCTCTAGGATTAATCATGCATAGAAACAGTCTTAAACGTAAAATTATACTTTTACTTTTTTAAACAATACCACTTAAATATGCAAAAGACAAAAATTAATTTCTATGATTGCGTCTGACTGTCGGCAAAAAGTACAGCTAGTTATCAAGTTAAATACCTCTGATCAAAGGAACAGGTGTTTATTTAGGTGCAACTGCTCAACAGTGGGGAAATACTGACAACAATTAACACAGCAAAGAAATCACTCTGAAGTTTATTGAGCAATAGAAATATTGTCAGACTAAAACAGATTCAGCTTTGCAACAGAAAGCAAGAAATTACAGTAACCTGCACCAATGCCTGTGTTTGATTTATACATCCTTCCGTTCCAGATACACATTATTAAAATGCTTTCTGGCAGCAATATAAAAAGCTAAGCAATGCTCCAGCCAAAGTTAAGCACATTTATATTGCATATGATTTCAATGGCAGAGTTAAGAACATGCTCTGATTGAAATCAATGGGGTTTAAAAGTATATGAATTTGCTTGACTCTTGCCCTAACGTCTTAAGAATTCATTTAATACTAATAAACTTTCCACAACTTCCAGGGAAAAACATACTATCATAATTAACATCAATGGTCCACTAACAGTTCAATGAGAAAATACTACTTCATTCAATTAATTGAAATTTTCAAGCTAACAGTGGATTTCTCATAAAGCCAACAATGATTTTCTTACAACAAATAAAAAACTTGCTGTGAAAACATGCAGTGTTTTGCAGCCATCCCTACAAAACCTATAATGATGAGTGTTTCCAGAGTGAGTCCATACCTGAATGTACGTTTCTATCCAATGACAAGCATTCTAAAATAGAACCAGAAACAATTCCATCGGTAAGTTAAAAAAGAACCGTTGGGTAGGAGTTGTGATACATCATCACTCACCAAGTTAGCAACAAAAATTAGTCAGCCTTTTTAGCCACACAATCACCTGAGTGTTCACATGAACTGGAGAAGTGCACAAGAAAACCAGCTGCCAAACAACCCCTCCTGGATTCAGGGATAAGATTTCAAGTCCCCCAAAGACATTTTTTTCTTTCCTTGCAAGGAGATTTTATGTCAGTTTCAACAATGGACATCACCTGAACCACCAACGACATTAGAATGGGACATTTGCCTAATGAATTCTTAAGACAGGTAAGTACCATTCAGCCTGGAATTTGGGGGAGTGGGTTGTTCTTATAATTATTTAAAGTGCAAGAGACAAAGTGTATAAAAACAAATCAAATAGCTCTGTAACAGTAGTTCATAGGCACAGGCAAAAAAGAAAAAAAAAAACAGCAATCAGAACCAATGAGAAAAGCACCTCTTAAAGGAATGTTTACTCAGATACTAATTTGTGTCTGAAAAACAAATACCCAGAATTTTGGTGGGTGAAGACAAACACTGCATAGGGATGAAATCTCTTCACTTGGGAATAGGAGTATTCCCATTTCATCAGCAATTAAAGACATTCAGCCACAAATGATGCAGCATGTAAACAGGATTTCAAAGACACGGGCAGACTGGTTAGTACATGAAAAAAAAAATTAAAATACAATATTAAAAACATGAGATCTAGGAATTAATTCTGTCCAAAATACATGGTATTCAGAGAAATGCTGACAGAAAAAATCATAAGAAACTGCATACATTGGCAATATTAGCCAAATAGGCTAGGAAAAAGGCAAACAACTTAAAACACTGCAAACATTTCAAGCACAACATGTTTTTGGCAAAATCTGTTACAACATACAGCATTATCAGGATAATGAATTGTCTAAGTGACAAGATCAAAGCAGCTTTAGTTACGATGTGTCCTTTTTGGAGAAGTTAAGAAACAGGTTGCTGTTTTGAAGAAAGAATAACCATGACTTTTCTGAGACTTTGCTCCTTTTCCAAAATTTAATATTCCAGAACAGAATGGAATATTATATTAATATTTTCTACCTGAGAAATTTTCCTACTTCACTGTTACGTCTTCTATAGAGAATTTGAAAACATGTGTTTTTGAACTGTTAACAAAATTGGAAAGAAAACTATTCACACTGCTGACCACATTGAGAATATTATGATGGATTTGCATTCCAAAAGAGAAAAAAAAATAACATATTGGGGGGGGGGGAGACAGAGAAGGACTATACTATTAACGTATCTTTGCCAATCAATACAAGATGGCTTAATCAAATTAATGTAGGTTTTCTTCACCACAATTTTCCCTCTGCTCCTAAAATGCCAAGGTGGATTATTTCACACTTACAATGAGAGGATTCCAAGTTGAAAAGCTCTCAATTATCATTTCTACTGGAAACTGACTCCCTTATAGACAGCTATATCTATTAATATCACCCTATTAATCAGAGTTAAGTCAATACTGCTGCATGAAAGAGAAATCAACTGTGCCACAGGGTCTTTTTGCACACAATATTTCCAGGCAAAGCAAGGATTCCTATTGCATGGAAAGTTATAGCTGAAACAGAAAATAAAATCACAGGACATAAGAAAACTGCATCTGGAGAAATATCTGAACTGTTCTCTAAAGCTATACAATGAAATATGTTGGTAGGGAGGGCTGTCATCCATGATAAACCATTTGGCAGAGTTACTAATAAAACTGTCAAAACCCTTAATAAAAACAAGCAAGAAACAATGCTTTTTTTCTGATCCCATTTTAAAATAAAACTCAACAAACCTTTCGAACTCAGCTTATAAATTCACTTTCCACCTTCCATCCTGAGAACAACATTTTTTTTTACATTAAGGACAAAATAAAATAGCTTATACACAGTTCTTCTAAAAATATATGGCTATCTACATTTCTATGAATTGGTTCTATGAATTATTCAAAACATAATTGAATTAACTGTTTTATCTTTTCATTTTTCTAAAAAAAAATCTAATTTTTCTCTGTAAAGCACTATAGTCGTGATCATACTGAGAGCAATTACAGCTGGAATGTATACTGTGAAAGATAAAACATTTGATATTTTTCTTTGAAAAAGATTTCTTTTATCCCCTTGCATGTTATAAAAATAAACAGACATCCTATAGTTTTAATAAATAAGTGCACCCATACCCCAACTTTGTGCTGGCGCAAGAAATAATATAGAGCTTATAGATCTAGGGGTGAAAAGCATTTTCTTAAAATCTGCTTTTTAAATAAATATTTTATGTGGCATAGTAGGTTAAATCTCCAACATCAGAAACTGAAATTAGCTTGAACGGCAACATTTTCATAGCAACAAATTATGTGACTGCTTTCTATTGTATGTCAAGAAAAATCACCCAGCCACACGCTCCGTAGTTCTCCTCCTAAACATATACATTTAGTGTCTCTCAAGCTTTGAGCAACTCTAGAAAGCCTCTAAAGCAAGCAAATAACAAATAGTCTGTACACAAAATTGACTTAACTGCACAATTCTTCTAAATCTTGAAAAACATTTCACAACTCTATCCACTGGGAAACTCTAGAGCTGCTATCTCTAAAAATATGATTTATCTACTGAAATGGCTAGTAATATGCATGATATACAAACACATTACCATTCCCTTAATATCCCATCTTAGAAAATCTACACAGTTTATTAGAAAGCTGTAAATACACCTGCAGTAAAACATACTGGAGTTTCTTTAACCGTCCCTGGTAACTTTTTTTGCAGAAATGCTATGCAGGTTAAACTCAATGACCTTCAACCACAGAATAAAAATAAAATTCAAGAATCTCTAAAACATATAAAAGTCTTCCACAAAGATAACTTTTGTCCACAGGCATGATCTTTGAAGAGACCTTTGGATTTCCAGCAACAAGACACATTTTTATGTCTAGTCAGCAACGCTCTGCTGCTTCTTTTAAGCAGGGAAGGAAAGCCAGGAAAATCAGCCGGAGCTTTCTGAAGATCAAGAACGAACCCAGCCCCAGACTTCTTCACGGAGCTGAAGATGGTCAGAGTGGCATCCGTTGGAGCAGCTTGACGCTTTCCTCTTTCCCTCTAAACACTTCGGCATTCCAGTGACATTACCTCCAGCTGGTTATTAACAATCTCAGTATTACTTTCATTACTTAGGTGGCTGGCAGGAAACCTGCTGGTTGTTGGAGATGCTTGAAATAGCCAACCTTTGCTTAACGTTGACTGATGTTATTTTTAAGAAGTTGTTTCTAGAAAGGCGAACACTGCAAAGTCCAACTCTGTTCCATAGGATGTTGTTTCTGGCATGTTTACCTCTCCCTCATTACACCAAGTTCTTCTCTGGCTCTTCCGACTTCCATCAGAAGCTGGTAAGATACCTGTAGGGTTTTGTAGAAGAGGAATCTTTCCCGTCTACTTCAGCTTTTCAGATGAATGAGGAACTCTGCGAGGGTATGGAACTGAAGGCGGTGCTCCCGGGCCCTTCCCAAGACCAGGATCAAGGTCTAATCCCCTTTCTGCCGTGCATGGCAAAGTTGGGTGCACGATGGGTCTCTCCGTGTTGGGGGCCACGCGGCTTCAGCAAGCACTGGTCTCCGGCTCTGTGGGCGCCTCCCTGCCGGGGGGCTGAGGGCCCACTGCCAAGGTCTGCGCGGGGGCTGCCGCGGCTGCGTTGATGTGACATCCGCTGGAGAGGTGGCTCCGGACTCGACCTTGCAGCTGGGTGACCTGGGCGCGGAGGAGGCTGGCGGTGGCGGCCAGCTCGGCGTTTTGGCCTTTGAGCGCCTTGACCTTCTCCTCCAAGCGGGCGATGCGCTCCAGCTTGCGCCGACGGCATTTGGAAGCGGCGATGCGGTTGCGCAGTCTTTTGCGCTCCGCTTTCAGGCGCTCTTGGCTCTCCGCGTCCAGCGGCGACAAGGAGGAAGGCGGCGGAGGGGACTCCCCGGACGAAAGCCCCGAGGGAGGCGGCGGCGGCGGCGGAGCC